TTCTCCCCTCCACGAAAATAAGGGCTTTCCGTTTAACATTGTCTGCCGTCTCTGATATATACTCTCTGTCACTGATGTAAACACATGTCGCATACGAATATTAGCCGAATCAGACGATAAGAAAGTAAAAACAGACACACCATTAGGAAAACAGAACCCTCCTTTTGGTTTCGATTAGTCTGGTAAAAATGAATACCAATGAGATACAACGCGTATACGTAGTATATCTCCTGCTAAGAAAAGTTCTTAAGAGAAGAATTGATTCGATCAGTTGCAGGCAACCTCCCCAGTCGCAGAGCTGGCAACCTTGGATCAACGCTTTCGCACAGGGAAGGGGAAGGTGGGGGTGAAGAAAACAACCGTTCCGTTGAGAAACTAAACTTTATTGTTGTTGCCGCAAGAAGCTCGAGAGAGGGACTGGGTGAGGAAGGGAGGAGGGAGGGGCAGAAGAGAGACGGTGGCTGGTTGAAGGCGAGGTCGTTCCTGGCATGCTCCGTCCACGCATTCCCGCCACCGCCGCGCAAACGCTGCTATCACAACCACGGGAGCTCTTTCGTCAATGGGCGGATAACCCCACGCTTATGGAAGCGATCGAGTGACGTGCGAAACGCTGTGCCTCTTTAAGTGTTCAAACATAGAATCGATATACGAACTCGGTGGCTGAGAGCTGCAACTGATGTCTTTGGAGTCCCTCTCACCAGGAAGTCCTTGGTGCGTATCCCGACGGTAGCAGGAGTTTCGTCACTAGCTTCTCAGCTAGGTCGAATTCAGTCGCAGCCTGGAGGAGACTTCTATCGGCCGGCGGTTCTGATTGGTAGTTTTCCGTGGTTTCTCCAATCAACACTAAGCGAATGCCGGAGCAGTACCATAACAAACGGGCCACGGACCGCCCGCGATCTTTCCTATCTCTTCCTTGTTTTATCCTCACCACCTACTTACAAACACTACACTACCACACATGCCCGGAGACCGGAGCTTAGAGCTTGTGGGTGGGGTGGTGCCTCACTGGTTGGAGATACCTGGTTTGGGAAAACTCGGCTATCGAACAGTAAGTCTGCGCCGGATCTTGTTATCCAGCGAGGGAAGACCATCGCCAGCTTCCAAGCAAAACACATGTACTACACTTACAAGACAAATGACCATAGTAGTTGACGTACCGAAATCACTAACAATCGAAATACCTCTCATGATTCATTGTGAACTTCCTGAATGAAAAAAATTAAAACACTAGATTTTGGTGAATTTTATGTTGTTTTACAAAACATTCGTGCATGGGACAAAGAATCTCAACAACCACTTAACTACAACTACTTAAGGTTCACTAAAAATGAATTTCATTACTAAAGTGAATCAAACAATTTGCTCACTTGGAACTGCAAGGTATTGCTGATATTCAGGTTTAAGATGTATCCCTTGATTATGCGCTTTGACATTTTTCAGCACACCTTGTGGCTGGTATTGTCCTCACATTACACAAGATATTTCAATGCATCATGTACTCTCCATAAAAACAATTGGCAGAAAAATAATTAAAAGAGAAAGAGGGTATGTATAGATAAAGATGTCAGTGACGATGTACATCTGTATTAGAAATTAGAATGAATAAAAGTAAATTGAGATTTTAGTCCTCTTTCGAACTCACAATTTTTAATACACATAACCTTACATTCTGGCAAGGAATTTGAGGAAACACGCGACACTGGTGCAGGGATTAGCAGTCATTGAAACGTTGAGGTCAGATTAGTCTCCGCAGGAAACTAATTTAACTCTAGGAAAAATGGATCTGTACATTACCAGAGGGGGGACTCCGGAGCACACAGCTTTAATTTTCATTTCAATGTCGATTTCCATAAATTGATTTAGCTAAGGGTTTAGGATGTGCATTCATTTAAACAAAAATTATTGTACAATTTCTGGAATAAAAAATAACCGAATTTCTCAGTTCAACATGTGTATTTAATGACAAAACATATTACATTTTTATTGTCAAAAAAGACCGATGAATCTTCGTAGCAGTAATGTATTAAATTATATTAAACTAAGGGTTAAAATACAACCAATGTGTCCAAAATATATTCTTAATGTTCACTTTTGAAAAGAATTTCCCGGAATATTTTTGAACCCATAGCCAAAGATGCTGTAGATGCTACAATTCTAGCACACACTGTAAAGGATGACACCATGTTTAAATAAAATATCATATCCGAAACCAATTTAGTGACTTTAAGCTTCATAAAAAAATTGAAATTTATGAAAACAAGCAAGCGCCGCTGGGCTTCTGAATGTGGCCTCCCTGGAAATGCCAGAGTTAAAAATGGACCGTTTCATTTGCTTAATCCACGCGAGCAGCATCGCGATGTTGGGAGGCTGCGGGGGCAGCTAGGCCTTCGTCTGGGTCGACTGGCCGTAGTGGCCGCCGGCGGCCAGCGGCAGCCCGTGCGACCCGTCGTCCGGGCGGCCCAGAGGGGTGCCCTCGTGGCCCTCGGCGCCGCCGTGCCCGTACGACAGCTCCGGCCCGCCGGCCTCCGCCGCCAGCGCCACCGCCGCCAGCAGCGCCAGCACCGCCAACACTACCTGCAAGCACACGCGCGCGAACTCAGCTCAATCACTTACATCAGTCAAAATTTATGGCTGGTAACTTGGTGGTTGTACGATAAAACAGGAAGACACTTGGCAATGAAGGAAATATTTACTCTACTTAGAGTTTAGAATGAGGGTTTGGCCGATTATTCACTACCGCTCAGAATAGACACGATCATGGATGTCATCCAAAACGTATGAATACAGAAAACAGATCTTATTGGTGTCATGCCTTACAATTAAAGCTCGTCAGCCTGTAGTTTGTTGCTATTACAGGTCTTTGAAGTTCAATACTATCAAATTGTGAATAATTTGATTTGTAGCTGGGTTACGTTTCATATGCACCGCTCCGCTTTCAAAAGAGATTAACAATATTACTCCTCTTGGCTGCTATTTCTCTGAATGTAGAATGAGGAAATCAATTCATTTTCGAAGTGCATGTCATGATGCATGACAAGTAAAACAACTCATCGCCATAATGTTCTGACAAACGACAATCATTTATCAATTCGGCGGTGGCAGAAGATGTCTCGTGATAGTTCAAATTAATACAATGACAATCAAATAACCAAAATACAAAAAACTTGTTTGTAGTTTTCATAATATATTAAAATTACAAGAACCAGAACTAGTTTCCGAGAAATTTTCACGTCCATCAGTGGTTTTACAGTAATAAGCGAGTAACGTGGAACATAGGTGTTGTGGTGTGATATCTTTGGCATTTTTCATAAAATAATTAAAGACGTCATTGCCAACAGTATTGCATTAAACAATATTGTTGGCAATGACAACGTCGTTAATTATAACGTGGAACATGCTGACAAATATAAAACTAGAAAACGTAAAAAGATTAGATAGACGCCATTTTAAGATCTCACCATAGATAACCATCCTGACATTTTATCATAAGGTACTAGTGACCACCTAATTTACAAGAATATTTTGCGCAAATTCGTAATCAAGCTTTTCTCAAAAACAATTTGAATTGTTTACTTTCACCTTTTTCTGAGCGTTCTTCACAATTAATTAATTTTTTTGGTGCAAGGGTAATTTTTAATAAAATATTTGAATGAAAAAATAATGAAGATTTTTTTTGAATCTTCGTTTAGTGAAGAGTTTGTTCACGAGATGGCTACATAATTAATATGATTCTTCTACTAATGATGTCATACCATATTAGTGGTTCAAATAATACGAGGATTACGTTCTGTAAAATTACGAAATCTTATCGAAAGAATCTACAAAATAAAATGTAATATAAATCAATGGGCTACTGCTTTTATTCGTAACTATTTATTTATCCCTTCCTAATATTGATTTTTCATACTAAAATTGCGTTTTTTACGAAGTTTACCAAAAAACTTTCCATTGTCCGTTTTTATCTCATTACACACAGGGAAACTAAAACGTTAAATATTTGTAAAATTAATGGAATGCACTGGAATAATGAAAAACTAAAATGCAATGCTAGTGAACAGCAATAAAGCAACGGAACATAATAACTGTCGTTCATTGTGAGACAATAGAGAATGTAAGATATATTTCTCCAAGGTAAACTTCTTAGAGATTTCTAGATTTTTCAGGTTAGAAATGGGTTTCCTCTGTTATAAAACCTTCTGTTCCGTCTATGCTCGTTATTATCGAGCGTTTAATGAGTTTTACAACACCTTATACTTCAAGATTCCTGAGTAGTACATGGATAATGCAATAAGCCATAGCACGGTTAAAAATGTTGTACGTAAATGCTCTTGGCTTACCAGTTATATACCCTTTTATTCTTTGCTTTAAAGTAATTTCGAATTCGAGTGTATTTTCCGAGATACATCGCACAATTTTTCTAAAAGCACTTACAATTAGAATTCGTTCAGATTTGGAGAGGAATATAGACTTAGTTCCCTATGCATTTTCAATAAATTACACATTGGTATTGAAAAGAGCATTTGGAATAAACAAGCACCTACCCCATCTTTCCAAGTTACTTCCAACCAATAAATATATTAAATTTCGGTAACAGAATTCATAGAAACTGATGCTAAAAGCGATAAAAAGAATACAAAACAATAAAAAGTTTCAAAACATCTCGCGTAAACGTCTTCAATATAGCTTTGTATATACATATACATTTTATTGTGTTTCAAAAGCAAATGTATCTACTTTCACTTACCGATTAATGACTACTAACTTCAGACATTCGAATAAACTGTAAAATTTATAAATATATACATTTATAAATTTATATATTTATATGAAAGTAGAAGTGGTCACTTCATTCATTTCCATATATTAACTCTTGTATCACAAGTGAAAATCGATCTATATGAACCATTCCTTTTATTTCTTTCATAATAAAGTTGCTGTGTACAAAACCACACACATACATCGGCACTTCATATGTTTACGATTGTGTAACAGAATTTAAGTTTTTAAATAAACAATTCACCAATAAAAAATTTAAGTTGTAAGAATTGTATGATAAAACTTTATTTCTCTTGAATCCTGTTTACTCTTTTTTTTCTAGTATTTTCTCATATTCAGTTGGGGCTTCGCTACTTTGAATGCGAGATGCTCGAACGTAGGTTCACTGTTTGAGATAAGTCCCGAATTACAGTAAATGGGATTCAAAATATCAAGAATATCCAGCTATCATTATTAAACAACTGAATGTTTAAATTTTTAGAAACATATAGAACCAGATTAAGGTCGTTTCCACAATCTTACTTCTTTTTTGTCGCTTCAACATCTAGGTCATTGCAACCTTCAATCATACATTGACAGATGTTTTCGGCCACGTCCTTTGCTGCGGTCATCAGCCCGAGAGTAATGATTTTTCATCCCAGGAGGAGATGGTAGTGCTCCCACGCTGGATGGTGAGATCTGAAGCCAGCCTACACGTACATTTGCGAGAGATTTTCCTTCCAGGAATTTTCCTTCAACTTAAAGAGCATCGCATCACTCGGGACAAGATCTAAGCACCCAACTGGTCTTCCGATACGTGGTAGTGAATTTTAATACTTTCTTTTCCTAATTCGTGTAAAAGGTACGAAATTACGCCGTCACACCTTGCATCCGTGGAGCTTTCGCACCAAACCTCCAAGAAATTGAGTGCTTTCCTGCGAAAACAAAAAACACTGCGCATTCAGAGCAGCTGATTTCTTTGGATTTTGATAGGCAAATGATCAAGGTATAATGTATTTATAGCCATAAGCGTCAATTATAGTAAATTCTATATTAAAAGCTAAGAAAAAAATTGTAAAATGACGTGAAAACATTAAAATTTCTTTATTTTTCAAAACACCTCATGAGTAATCAAGACCCCGTTTTATTTATCTCGAGACACTACCAAAAAGAAAAAGAACCTTCGAAAACACAATTTGTGAATGATTACACGGTGACATGGACAGCATGTTCGTGTAAGAGCCAATTGATGTACGAGTAAATTGGTCTTCCATACGAGATATAGTGAAGTGCAACTGACAGAGCCGCCCAGTGACAACGCAAGAACGAGCATGTTTGAATTTGTTCTACTGCCACCTACTCATAAAAAAATCAATTCCCATTTTATGTACAATGGACCTTTCAAAATAAGACAAATACCCATCTGAGTACCTACTTTGAAAAACGGACTTTTTTACAGCTAGAAGGCCAAAACTACACATTATGCAGTGTCTGGAGGAAAATTGGCGTCTGGCTGCTCTGGCCGGTAGTTTTGTGTGGTTTTTGCAATGAACACCAGGAGATTGCCCGAGCAGTACCCTAATAAACGCACCATGAACACCGCGCGATCTTTCTTACCTTCCTCTTTCTTTGCTTCCACATATTTTACTTACACTTATACCTGCATGCACTACACCAACACACATGCCGGGAGCTTAGGGCTTGTCCCTTCTGGGGCGGAGTCTCCTTGGTGGGAGATTTCTAGTTTCCGTCGAGATTCCGTCACTTGCATCATGTGCACCACATGTCGCATAATCAGGATGGTTTAATTTTGGCGGCAGAGTGAGCTTCTAATTATTTTCTCAGGATGTAATAATTTGCTGCTGGATCTAACAAAAGAGAATCAAGAAGATGCATTACTCGTTCATTTCACATTTGCAGACGGAAGAATTAAGAACTACTATTGTTTTGAAAGTAAGAGCTCGAACACAAATCCAAGAATGTACGAACAGTGTCGATGTCTAACAATTTCTGATGAATACCGACGCCAACGGAGGTATGGGAAAAAGTGCATGTTTTATTTTTGTCGTTTCAGTGATGTCTTTGGAAAAATCAAATCCATTTCGCTATGCGAGAGTACGTTCTGGCAGTAAATTAATTATAAATAATGCAGTGAACTATTGCCCCAAGAAAAAGAAAATTAGGTTATTAACACCATTAGAAAGACTATGGACAGAGCTGAAGCACAATGCATCTTGCCATCACACACAAAAGGCACGGGAAATATTTATATTTCTTCTTTGCCCATTTCTATTACACGTTAATTATGTTCTTGTCTGCTTCTACTCTGCCGTAACATTCAATGAGCGGCCTGTATCCCTCTCACCGCCATCTGAATCGTAAATTATCGATCAGTGTCTTCTGTAAAAGTGCGAGGCTCTTTCAGTCGGCGCTGACCTCATGTAACAGATCGCAGCGCTGCGTCTGCAAATGTGAAGTGAGTCAGTAATAACGTAACGGGAAATTAGTGTTTGCAGTACACAATGCCTATACAGTTCGTGATTACTTCCAGTATCATAGTCTTAGAATGAAAACGTTGGGCAGAACGTTTTTAACACGTCAAACACTCTAGCCACGTGTTTGCCTTTAACAAAGTAACATATCGATTCATGATAGACTGACTTAAGCTCTTTATTGCTTAAAAATCTATATCACTTTCTGTTCGTGACAGATGGCCTACTTGGCCCTCCGTGATAGAAAAAAACAGTTGATGGTAAAAGCCCGCAGCGAGCACTGATGACAATCATATCTTTGTTGGCACAAAACCTGTAGCTTTTGCA